CCTCTGCTGACATCACTCTAGTTTCCTTGCAGCACAAAATGTTTGCAAAGTTTGGTGCTCCTGGAAAAAAAAAACCAAAGAAATGTACACAAATTATAACATGGCAATTCAGCAAAAGGTTGAACGAACAAAGTCCTTCATGGCTTCCTAAATAGACTAGCCCTAATTTAACAATATAGACCAACTGCCCAAGGAACACAAATGATACAGCTTTGTGCTTTTTCCCAAGAAGCTTCATTTATGAATATAACCTACACCATCTGCCTGTGAAGAAGACATCTAGTCAATGCCAAGAAGGTATTAATCACCTATAGACTAGTGTTCCCAAGAGTGAAAAGATCTGAAATAATGCAGTCTCAGCTTGAGACTCTTTTAAAATGTGGGGATGGGTGTATGTGAGTGTGATTACACACATATACTACAGGAAGGAGGCAAATGATATTTTTGCCTAGGAGTAATACATAGATGTTTACATAGAATACATTTAACTCTAACACATAACAGCAATTATTTAAAAACTAAATGTGATACTAATTATCCCTCACTGTTCCATCACCCTCCATATATTCACACAGGAATCCAGAGCTGTGCCATTCAGCCACTTAAATGTAACAGTGCCTTGGGGCTTTGGCGTCACACAAAGGCCACTTCAACTCCCTAAATAGAAGAGAAATCTGGGAGCCATAGTATAATATATAAGGACATAATGAGGTTAATTCAGAAGCAAATGAAGATTTGTACTGAACTCCACTATCTCTCTGATAATTCCATTACCACCTAACATGCCACAGCTCATTAAAAGACTGGCATGCATGCTCAAATGCAGCTCACTGTCCCCTGTACATTCCAGTCTATAAAAAGTCCCCCCTCCACGCCCTTTAAAAATATCCACTTGGCCTCTGGCAAAAAATATCCACCCTCTGTAACAATGTCTTCTATAACACAAAGTCTTCCTTGAGAAAGAGACCCCTAAACAGGTAAGAAAGTTAAAGCCAATGCAAGCTGCCCTATCAGCCTTATCCTGTTGTATCAGAAGGAGCTTTAAGAATGCATAGTCTTCCTTTTAGCTGATCCTGTCATTCACCTGACCAGGTGACTAAGGAAGTTAAATTCATTTGCTGAGCTAAGCAGAAGACTCAGACGCACCAAGTAGCCTAAACCTTTTGGTTAAAAGCTTCACATCTCAGAAAGCAATATTCCCTGTTAACTACCAGCTACGTACCAAATGCAGGACCAATGCCAGGGTGAGCAGGGAAACCTTGGGGCTCTTCGTGATCAATATGCTGGGAAGGAATCGCATGAACATGACTTTACAGCTGATCCAAGTTGGTCTGACTCAAATACATCCTTCTGACTGTATCGGTCAGGCAGCTAAAACAACCCTGAGACCAGAAGGAGCCAAGACAAACTTGGCTTGTCAGTCAGCCAGGACTGGGATTGTGCCAAGTTCTTGCACCTGCCACAAGTAATCCTCCTTACTTCCTCCTCTGGCACTTTTTGAAGCCCGGATCCAAGTATTATTATTTTACATTATATATGTATAATAATAGTATATGAGTGAAACAGCACAGCCATATGGACCTCTTACCACCTGTCCAATTTTAGAAGCCAGGGGTAAATGAAAAAGGCCTCCAACCATACATTTCAGGCATGGGAAGACTTATGTGGAAGACAGACATAGTAGCTAAGAAACCAGGGCTTTTTAAGGTAAGTGGGCACAAAAACTGATCAGCAGTCAATAAAACTGTTTCCAAACTGTTGCTTAGAAACAGTGCAGCTGCAATTGCAAGCATTTTCTCCCATCATTATTAAACTGAAGTCTGAAGTCCAACTTGAGGAATAGTCCTCTAATCTAATGAAGCCTGCAGAACTGGAAACCTATAAAGAGAGCCACAAGTCAAGAGAAGAATGCCAAGGGAATGGACTGTATTGTCCCCAATCAAACAACTTCACCATATGTTTCTTGGTAGCCTAATACAAAAATTACAGCTTCTGTAATGGATTACCATATGGAGATTTTATCATATAGAGTGGGTGGGGTGGGGGTGGGGGGACTGTAGCCCTTTTACAATTTGTGGACTTCAACTCCCAGAATTCCTGAGCCAGCATGTTCAGCTAGCCCCCTGGTATTTTGAACATTGCTGAAATCAATTCAGAGTAAAGTATTTGGTTCAATCTTGTATTCTTTTTGTAAAGTGAAGGAAAGAGAAATACTGTATACAGATAATGAATGTTTGGGGGTAAGTGTTAGATAGAGAAAACTGTCATTTATTTAGAATTCAACCAAGTAAACAGCTATTTATGAAGCTGATTTAAGGTGGCTCTCTACAGTTCTATGGTAGTTCATATGCAGGGGATATTCCTTTCCCAATACAATCAGGAATCCTTATGATTTCTTTCACTCTTTAAAGCAGGGGTGTCAAAATCGTGTCATCTCATTGTCGTCACGTGACGTATCTGCCACTTCCCCCCCCCCTTCGCTATACCAGGCTTGGGCGTGGCCAGCTCATGGCGCATCCAGCCCATGGGGCGTGAGTTTGACACCATGAGTTTTAATTCAAATAAATTCTAAACAAACTAAACAAACATCATGTGAATCTAAAAAGTGAAAAGCTCCTTGTTTGGGGGAAGGGGAGTGTCTCA